TCCCTGGGCGCCGCAGCATAAATGGCTGCCCACTGCTCCAGGTGTGTGTTCACGGTGTGTGTGTGCACTAAGGATGGGTTAAATGCAGAGCACTAATTCCTAGAATGGGTAACCATACTTGGCCACATGTCACGTAACTTTCACTTCACTTTTACTTTAACAGTAGGGGGAAGAAAGAACAATGTCTATATACGGACAAACTGTTATACATTTACAAAGAAGTTTAGCATGTATAGGATCCTTATGCATCACCCAACACACTGTTAAGGGAATCAAATGGAAACAATGACAGTTTAGTTATTTTATTTATCTGTTATACTGAAGAGAACTTTTTGAAGGTTTTTTTTTTTTTTTTGCATTTTTGAGGTGTTCTGTTTTATTTTGGTTTTAGAAAATAAATGTGATTGCTCTCCTCCCAAATCAACTCTTCCTTGTTTTTCACTGGCATGTCTCTTTGACTAGTGCATCTTTGAGACTAGTGCATTATGCATTACTTTGAGTAAAATACTTAAGTACTGTTACAATCAGATAAGACTTTTACTCCAGTTGTTTTGGGAATTGATAACTTAATGGAGTCATTTTCACTGTAAGGTATCTGTACTTTTATTCAAGTATGGTGTTCAGGTAGACCGGAGTCTCTCCGATAGTGCGCGAATGCTGAAGTGAGTTCTGTGTCGCGTGTTCTTGCACTTGAACGGATAAATATGTCAGAAAATACTAGAATTTGCGAGTATCCTTGTAAACACATCGGTTATGTCTTAAGGGAACATAAACAGCTGAGGAAGAGCTCATCCGTATCATTATTAGATCCACTCGTTGTTGAAGTGACTTAAAGCCTGTTTTATTTAATTATTTATTTTTTGTATATCGTCATTTGTATATTTGTTCTATTGTATTTTATTTCTGTTGTGTGTCATTGGTTGTACTTTGTTTGTTTTTATTACTGACTTGTCTTATGTTTGATAATATTTTAACTTTGCATAAATTAGGCTAGTAGTTTTTTCTGTAACATCTAAATTGGTATTGAGCCATGCTTGAGGGTTTAACTCTGGCAAATGAAGACAAACATACTATAATATCATATTATAATTTCACTACAGTAAAGTTTTCATGGTATTGAAAATGGTATCAAATATGGATATTTTTACACCATTGAATCGAAGTGAGAAATTCCCAGTTAGATTTTTGAGATGTAAAAAAAAAAAAATCTCTGATTCTTAAAATAAATAAAGAAATAACCTAAATGCACAAGTAAGCAAAACTCTCTGCAGGCACTGTGAAAAAATATCACCATGATCAAATCTCTCAATCTCAGGAACTGAACCTGCTTAACAGGAAATGTCTGACAAAATGCCAAATAGGCATTTTTTCATATTTTGTTATATATTACCTTCTGTATATGTTACTTGAGGCTGCATGAGCCTTTATTGGTTTTAAGCAAATTAATGTTTTATTCACAATTCACCAAAGTTTATTTACAGATATGACAAAAATATGCACTTTGTATTATAATGTTCAGATGTTTGCTACGTAACACTGAATGTTTTCATTGGTAAAATTATACTTCCTTTGTTAACAAAACAAAAAGTGTTGAAAACTTGTAACATTCTGCTTCATATGAAGCTTTTTAACTTCTTAATCTTCTTTTTTTGTACTGCCAAGTTCTTGCATTGCAAGGAAGATGGAGTCCTGGAAATCTCTTTGGCGCTGAGATTTGGAGTTGAGAAGAACAGTGGGATTTAGTTGGAGAAATTTATTATGGTTCTGTTTTTGTAAATGCTCTTAGAAATGTTATTTCAGTGTCATACTTAAGTACAAAGTTCTTTAATGCCAAACCCCTCACCAAAATATGTACTAAAATCTGTCCAAAGCCATAATTCTGAGTTATGCCAGCCAGGTCAAGTCAAGTCAAGTTCAAGTTGAGCTTTATTGTCATTCTGCTGCATGTGGGGACATACAGTGGAACGAAATGTCGTGCCTCACAGGACCACGGTGTTACATAAATACAGGCATACAACAATGAAGTAAAACAGTAAAAACCTATACAGTAAAGCAGTAAAACCCCTTGTTGCAAAGTTCACATGTTGGTAGAACTTTGGCAACACTGTATTTAAGTTTGCGTGGTTGAAGTCACCGGCTATTACGAAAAAGCCGTCAGGGTTATTGGTTTGTTGTTCGCTGATGGCGATGTACAGCTCGCGAAGCGCGTCCTTAGCGTTTGCACACGGGGGGATGTAAACTGCGACAATAACAATGGCCGTGAACTCCCGCGGCAGATAGAACGGTCGACACTTCACAAACATAAACTCCACCAGCGATGAACAGTGTTTTGTCACTACCACAGCATTGTTACACCACTCTTTGTTGACGTACACACACAAGCCACCCCCGCGAGTCTTACCAGACAGTGCTGTATCTCTGTCCGCTCGGTAGCAGCTGAGTCCGTGCAGCTGAATAGCGCAGTCCAGGATATTGTCGTTTAGCCATGTTTCAGTGAAGACAAACACACAACAATCCCTTGTCTCATGCTGTGTAGACCGACTGAGTTGACTCCATTAGGAGTTTTGTTATTGTAAGACCATCAGCATACTTCACTTTGTGGCTAAATTTATATTTAAAGTTAAGCTTAAAAAAGAGCATTTGAGTTGAGATTCTGGACACTCTATCAACGCTGAAATATGAGTGTGTGGTTTATCTGTCAATCAGATGCGCATTAAAGTTGTGTTTGTTACCATATTTTCACCCAAACGGAATAATTAAAAACAGGTTTAAATGGGTAAATCTTATATACATATTTGATTCTTCATTCCCTGCTGGAAACCCCCCCCCCCCACAATAGAAACCATATTGTTTCTAATTGTTCTAATGGTTTCCACTACAAATACCATTAGCCTACAAATATTACAAACCATCATCTATTAACTATTAAAACCCCATTAGGATTTAGTGGTTTTAACAAGCCACCAATAGAAGGTGGAAAGACAAATTACCAGGGACCATTAGCCTACGGTTTCCATTAAAACCAATGGAATAATTATAACCAGTAAAACCATTACAAATTCTTTCTTTTTTTTCCAGCAGGGTTTTCTATCCTGACATGCTCCAAGACATACTTATCCTGTGGATCTTTAGCACTTTTTGTGTGAAAAAATGTATTGTCCATCAAAAGTGTGCTGTCGCTTTAATTGAGCGCGAGAAGAGCAGCAAAGAGACTGGTTTTGGCTGCAACCCAGGCCATACATAACAGAAAAACACCTCGATGCTCTCGCTCTCAGCAAACTCTGGACTCTCAACTCTCCCCACTCTCTCTAGTCCAACCCCCAGCTCTTAAAGTGAACATGGGACTAACAGCAAGAACCTATTGCTAAATGACTAAATTATACTAAACTAAATGACTAAATATGAATAACTAAATGATACTATACTAAATTACATTGCTGAAGATCATCACATCAACCAAGTGTCTTCAACATTTGTAATGACAGGATTGAACCTCCCAGCTTTCACTTAGCCTACTAGTAGGCTAAAACAGAGGAACAGCGCTTTAATATTATTATTTAATATTAAGAATATCTCTTCTGGTCATATCGTCCTCTTTTGGAAGACCAAACAAAGTAGTTTTGCTTTCACAATGAAGCACACAGCGTCTTCAGGATATGGCGGCGGCAACAACAATACTACAGCGAGAATAAAAGTTACGCCTTCTTTCTTTGTGTGAACATTTGGGAGGCGTTATGCAAATCTTCCCACATAGTCACGTAGACATGTGGGGGCGTGTTAGAACGAGCCGTTTTAGGTAGGAGTGGCTGGCTCAACGTTTATAAAGAATATCTCTTTGGATTTGAGACTTTAGTTTTTGCAACTTTACAGATCTTCTTTATGCACCAAGAGCTTGTAACACTCCAAAGAGAAAGGAAAAATTGAAATCGCATCATATGACGTCACACGGTCAAAAAAATAATGTTTAATATCTCAAACACCAAACCAGCACAAATGTTCGTTTTCGCGGCACAAATCAGCACAAACGTAGCACAAACGAATGGCATAGTTTTGGTGATTATTTCTTTTTATGGGGTGCCAACTTCACGGAGGTGCAAAAATTCGCTTCAAGAATGAACCTAGTGTCGGCGCTGCGCTTCTCGTCCGGTGTGCGACGGCCATTTAAATGTTTCCACAGACGAGCATGACTAGTGTATTGAAACGCTATATAGAGAAATTGCGCTACCATTCGACAATCTTTGTAAGATATCACTGAACATTTAACCACAGCAAAAGTAAATTTCTTGCTGGGGTTGTTTCAACTCGATTTTTGTGTTTGACGAGACAATTCTGCTTTTAATCTTAATTATTTAGCACTACAGTGTAGCCTACTAATGAAACAAGGCCACATATTTGTACTAAACGTGTGAAATGTGGGGAAAATGAAATATTCTGAAACCCAAGTGTGTTTACGCAAACTGAGAAAGCCAACAAGTGTTGTGGCCCACTCTCCCCCTATATGCATTTGCTGGCTTATAATTAATTGTTAATTTCTTCTTCAGGTTTTTCCGGTGTTGGGGCAGATATAGTGTCAGTGTCAGTGATGGAAGGAGATTCAGTCATTTTATACACTGATGTCGAAACCATCCAACAAGAGGAGATTAGATGGTATTTTAATGACATTCGCATCGCTGAAATCAGTGGAGATCCCAATAAGACCTGCACAGATGTTCAGTGTGAAGATGCTGATGAGAGATTCAGAGACAGACTGCAGCTGGATCATCAGACTGGATCTCTGACCATCATGAACATCACAACCACAGACTCTGGAGTTTATAAACTACAGACCAACAGCAGCAGCGACAGTCTTCTTCAGCTCTTCAGTGTTTCTGTCTATGGTGAGTCATTATGTTCCTTATACGATCACTTTAATATTCACAGCTCTTTCATGTTGTGTAGTTTGTTCGTTGTTTTCAGCAGAAAGATCCTCCAGCAGCTGTTGGTTTGTGTTTCAGATGTTCCTGAATGAGAGAAAATGAAGAGAAAGTCAGTGAAGGAGGGAGAATCTGTCACTTTAGATCCTGGTGTAATAAAAAACCCAAATTATTTGATGAAATGGCTTTTTAATGACGTTCACATCGCTGAAATCAATGGAGATCTTAGTTTTATCTGTACAGATGTTCAGTGTTTATATGCTGACGAGAGATTCAGAGGCAGACTGAAGCTGAATCATATGACTGGATCTCTGACCATCACAAACACCAGAAGTGAAGACTCTGGACTCTATTATCTGCTGATAACCACCATCCGGTTCAACATCATAAGGAGCTTCATTGTTGATGTCACTGGTGAGTGTTATTTAGTGATGAAACTCACAAAATATATTCATCTTTGATCTCGTAGGTGTCTGATCCACTATGTGAGAACTGCCTGTCTTGCACTTACTTACCTTATCACTCGCAAGCTCTATGATCTGTAGAAAGAATATTTTCACAGCACTTTCCTGAATGTTTTGTTTGGCTTATGATTGTTAATTTTTTCAGGTGTTTACGGTGTTCATACAGACAGTGTGTCCGTGATGGAGGGAGATTCAGTCATTCTACACACTGATGTTGAAACAAATCAGCAAAAAGAGATTAGATGGTATTTTTATGAAATCCGCATCGCTCAAATCACTGAAGATCTCAGTTTTATCTGCACAGATGTTCAGTGTAAATATAGTGATGAGAGATTCAGAGACAGACTGAAGCTGAATCATCAGACTGGATCTCTGACCATCATGAACATCAGAACCACAGACTATGGAGTCTATCATCTAGAGATCATCAGAGACAGTGGCATCAGTCATGACACCTTCAGTGTTGCTGTTCATGGTGAGTCATTATGTGTAAAAGCTGGTCTTGTATATTTAAATCACATCATTGTTGTTTTTAGTGATATTTAGAGGTGTTTTTTTTTCTCTTTACCTGTATATTAATTCACATACAGTATGTAGATAATTTCTTCAAAAACACATTTACTGTTTTTGGAATTTGTAGATTTAACTACAAATGTAGTTCTCTATGATATAAAACATTTTATTTTTAACAAACATTGTTTTGTTCCGGTGAATCCAAATCGGAATCCAAAGTTCAAAAAGTATATAAATGCAAAATATGTTTCACAAAAACAAAATTTTGCTTTTCAGGCTGAAAATCAAGGAAGTCCATGACAATCACTTTTATTTCCACAGTTCTCTCATGTTGTGGAATTTGCTTTTCAGCAAAAGATCCCTCAATCAGCTGTTATTTTATGTTTTAGGTGTTTCTGCCGCTGAACGAGATGAAATGAAGATGAAGTCGGTGAAGGAGGGAGAATCTGTCACTTTAGAGTTTGATGTAATAAACAACCTGAATTATCCGATGATGTGGTATTTTAATGACATTTGCATGACTGAAATCACTAGAGATCAGAGTAAGAGCTGTGAAGATGGTGATGAGGGATTCAGAGGTAGACTGAAGGTGGATCATCAGACTGGATCTCTGACCATCACAGACATCAGAACTACAGACTCTGGAGATTGCAAGATACAGATCAACAGCAGCAGCAGAATCAGCATCATAAAGAGCTTCATTGTTAATGTCACTGGTGAGTTAAATTTAATAATTAAATGCTTTTTCCTTCAATTTCGATTTAAGTAAATGTTCTTCATGGAATGTTTGGAAAAAAAAAAAAGACTCAACATTACAAATCTAATATACATGCCTTTATTAAATGTAATAAAGGCATGCCTTTAACAAATGTATGGAAAACAACATTTGGTGGAAAATTAAATAAGCGGTACTTTTTATGTCGTCTTATTTCATGGTATGAGAAATATAAAAAAATATAAACAAATATATGATCCTGAAAATTTAGCATTGATCACAGGAATAAATTACATTTTAAAATATATTCAAATAGAAAGCAGTTATTAGTTATAATAGTTATTATTACTGCTTTTGCTGTATTTTAGATCAAATAAATGCAGGCTTGGTGCGCAGAAGAGAATTCTTTAAAAATCATTAAAAATCTTACTGTTCAAAAACATTTGATTGGTAGTGTATGTAAAACTTATGCATGATATTTTGTGAGAGAGATTCTTTAAAAAACATTAAAAATCTTACTGTTCAAAAACATTTGATTGGTAGTGTATGTAAAACTTATGCATGATATTTTGTGAGAGAGAAAAAAAGTGTGAAAGAAAAAAAGGTTTTGTGAAAGAAAAAAAATGAGAGAAAAAAAAAGTTTTGTGAAAGAGAAAAAAAAATGTTAAAGAAAAAAGTTTTATGATAGACAAAGTTTTTTAAGAGAGAATTTTTTTTTTTTGCAGAGAGAGAAAAAGTTGTAGAGAGAAAAAAGTTTTGTGAGAGAGAAAATGTGAATAGAGAAAAAAAATACAGAGAGAGAGGAAAAAAACGGAAGCGAGAAAAATAAAGTTTTTGGAGAGAGAAAAAATATTTAAAGAGAGAAAAAAATTTTGATAGAGAAAAAAATTTGAAGAGAGAAATAAAGTTTTTGGTGAGAGAAAAAAAATTACAGAAAAAAGTTTTTGGAGAGAAAGAAGTTTTTGAAGAAAAAAAATGTTTATGAAGAGAGAAAAAATAATTGAGGAGAGAAAAGCGTTGGGAGAGAGTAAAAAGTTAAAAAACTTCTTAATATCAGTTAATGCACAGTATACTGTGCTAATGTATACGCAGTTTTATTGCAGTGTTACCTATTTAATAAATAGCAATCATACAATGCTTCCTTACTAAACCCCGCTAATTAGCTACATGTTTATATGCCTAATTATGTTTACTAATATAGCTGACTTATTACTTGCCGAAATAAAAGATTACATTTTAGCTCAATGCTCCTCGTGGCCTATCTAGGCGCACTTACGGGAAGTTACTATCTATCTATCTATCTATCTATCTATCTTAGAATGCTGTCACGGGCAGGAGGTAGCCTATCAACACATTGTGCGGAATATAATAGGCTAATGTAGCCTAATGCTACGTTTACATAGTGCGTTTTATTTTTAAAACGCATAACGTTTGCTACTGTTGCGCCTGTCGCTTACACTACTCCGCCATTTTCGACAATCGAAAATGGAGATTTCGTAAATGCTGCAGACCCCGTTTTAGTTTGAAAACTCCGGCGTTGTGTTTTAGTGTAAACGGACCAAAACGGAGACTTTTGAAAACGATGGCGTGGCTGCCCACATTCGCTCTGCATATCCTTGGCGACCGCGTAAACAATAACATCATGCTCATTGTTGTAGCTGCATGAATGGTCATGTGACCTGCGTTTTCAGTTGTGTAGTGTGGACGGAGATCATTTCTGAAATGCTGTGCAAACGCCAGTGTAGACAAGGATCATTTTCATTTTAAAACGCCGTTTTAAAACGAAAACACACTAGTGTAAACGTAGCCTGATATTCATGTCTTGCAGCACTGCCTTTGTCATACTTAATTCAAAATAAAATATTAATTAATTAATAATATCCATTTCTGATAATCCCAGGTTGCCATGATCACGCAGGTTTGTTTACACGTTGCCACGAGTTAGGCGTTTGTTTCCTTGGCCACGAGTTCCCTCAACACAGATGCTGCGTCCCAATTCGCCTACTTATACTATGTCCTAAAAGTATGTACTCTTTTTGTGAAGAAAAAGTACATACTTTTGATTATGTAGAAGAATAGCAGGCAAGCTTTGGGACATACTACTTCGTCATAACTGCGTTATGCGTACCATCGTTTTCATCAAGTTAGACATTGATTATTTATCACTCAAATCCCTTTCTCTACCTGTCCATTGGTCGCGTATATCCACCATGTTTGTAGTTTTTAACACTTTTTATGCGTGTTTGTAGTTCTAACAGAATCCTCGTCCACCGTGCAATGTGTTGTGAGCAATATTAGCCGTTAGAGTGTGCATCGATCTGCACTTCGAATTCTAACCGGAAGTAGTAGACCATCCGGGAATCTTTGGCATACATTTTTAAACATACTATGATTTGGGACATACTAATTCTATTTTCGAATACTATTTAGGACGGATAGTATGCGAATTGGGATGCAGCAAGAGCCGTTGAAAAACATATATTCAACATAGGCTCCACATCGCGTGGCCACGACATAACGATGTCATTCCCTTGACAAAATGGTCGTGTCCGTGACAAAACCATACAAAACTAGCCGAAGTGAACCGTTAATGTCCCTTCCCGTTTACCGTAAGTGAACCGAACATGTCCCTTCCAGGTCAGGGTACATGCTAACTTTAGCTAGCCATCATTTTTTTTCACTCGTGTTGAATCGGAGAGAGAAAAATAATTTGAAGTGAGAGAAAAAAAAATGAAAAGAGCGAAAAACGTGAGAAAAGAAAAGTTTTCGAAGAGAGAAAAAAAGTGTTTAAATCAAAAAAGTTTTTGATAGAGAGGGGGGAAAACATTTTTGGAGAGAAAAAAAGATGAAAGAGAAAAACATTCTTAGGACTTAGGCTCAGGAAGGGTCTAGGACACTAGATATATTTTCTCTCCTACCTTGAATTATTTTTTTTTTCACGTTGCAGTTCAGGGCATCCGCAGATTTTTTTTCCCAACTGCTTTAAAATACAAAATAGTATTTTGTATTTCAAATACGTATTTTAAACGTATGTATTGTAACTGATACGTATGTAACTGAAATACTGCCCATCCCTGGCCGTCGCTAATAGGAGAAAGGTGGTGACGATTATAGGGGCCCATGGCTGTGGGGAGGCCCCCGGCAATTTTAACCGACTGTCCAAGGCCAGCATGAAAGATGCTCAGAACAGTTGACATGCAGCATTAAAGGTAGGGTAGGCAATTTTGAAAAGGCTAGCAATAGCAAGTTAGCTTTGAAAGCATAAGATCCCACCCTCCCTGCAAATCACTCTCCAAAGCCACGCCTCCTCCAAAACACATGAACGCACACAGACAGAGCAGAGGCTGACCAGCGACACGATGAGAGACGGCGTTGGTGGAGGGTTGAATGCAGCACTGTCAGATTACCTCATGTCTCATTCACCAGCGATAAAACATTAAAGTACAAAGCGCATAATATTACAATAATAACGCCTTTCATTCTGGCTGGAACGTGCTGATGACGTATCATGTCTGCACAAACAGGGTGCGCAGAGGTATGCAAATATATATTTTGACAGGCAGGACAGCCTATCGTAATGTTTGGGCCGAACATTTTGATTGGATGAACATTTTATGGTCCTAAACCTTCCACAGAAAATATAAATACATATAAACAAATATAGACCACTTAACTTAGTGATTGCTATCGGGATGTGAAGAGACTTTCAACCAGCATAACAGAAAATGTTTTTGAGCCAAATCACCTACCCAGCCTTTAATAACTCTATTTAACATCAAACACGTTCCACTCTTTATTTTCTCATTCATGCATGAACTCTTACGCGTAGGCCTATATACAGTGGGTACGGAAAGTATTCAGACCCCCTTAAAACTATACATTTAAGTAGGACACTACTGTGCTATGCAGATATATTTACATACTGCAAAATAACAGATCTCTAACTTAGACACTTTATACCATCATCATGATTTGAAATATTTTGAAAATGTGATCCCTGTAAATGCTCAGATTAGTAACTTAAATAAAAACTTTATCTAAATGTAACATGGCTTCATAAATGTTGACATTTTACATCAGTGCATAATCTGAATAATGTACATTAGAAACATTGTGAGTCTGATTTGGATAAAAGTTTCTGCCAAATGAGTAAAAATGCCAATGAAAACATTTATGTGGGATATTCAAACAGTATCTTTTAAAAATAAAAGATGTTGTACCTTAATGTGGTGGCAAATGGCACAGTTTCTTGAAACTGTAAATTTGTAGAAATTTTGTTTCCTGTTGTATAATTTTGATTGGCTAATATGATTAATAGTTCATTTCTTCTTCAGGTGTGTCTAGTGCTGATAAAGATGGAGGGTCAGTGTCAGTGAAGGAGGGAGATTCAGTCACTCTACAGACTGGTTTCAAAACAGACAAACCAGAAAAGATTATGTGGTATTTTGATGGCTTTCAAATAGCTGCAATTACTGGAGATCTCCGTTATATCTGCACAGATGTTCAGTGTAATAAAGGTTCTGACAGATTCAGAGAGAGACTGAAGCTGGATCATCAGACTGGATCTCTGACCATCATGAACATCAGAAACACAGACTCTGGACTCTGTCAACTCAAGATCATCAGCAAAAGCGGCAGAATCAGTAGAAAAATCTTCAGTGTCGCTGTATATGGTGAGACATTGTGTTTAAAAGCAAGTCTTGTACATTTAAATCACATCATTGATGTGTTTAATGATATTCAGATGTGTTTTTTTTCTCTTCACCTGTATTTTAATTCACATATAGCACATAGATCATTTCTTTAAAAACACATTCACTGTTAAAGTGGAGTTTGTAGATTTAACTACAAATTTAGTTCAGTATGATTTTAAATTATTTAGTTTTTTCCATTGGTGAGTTTTTTTTATTTTTTAAACTTTGCATTTATTGACGTTTTAAGAGTATTGTTTGTTTGCATGCGTTACATTATGAATCCAGACATATTCAATATCCACAGTTTTTATGATGTGTAAAAAAAAATTCCTGTTGTATCATTTTGTTTGGTTTATAATTAAATGTTAATTTCTTCTTCAGGATTTTCTGGTGTTGGTTCAGATGGAGTATCAGCGTTTGTGATGGAGGAAGATTCAGTGACTTTATACACTGATGTTAAAACAAACCAGCAGAAAGGTGTTAGATGGTTTAATAATGACAGTCTCATCGCTGAAATCACTGGAGATCTCAGTCATTTCTGTACATGTTCAGTGTAATAAAGGTACTGAGAGATTCAGAGACAGACTGAAGCTGGATCATCAGACTGGATCTCTGACCATCACAAACATCAGAACCACAGACTATGGACATTATGAACTAGAGATTATCAGCAGCATCTTAAATACAGATCATCAGAGAAAAGTCAGTGAAAAGACCTTCAGAGTTGCTCCACATGGTGAGTCATTGTGTTTAAAAACATTGTACAGTTAGTAGTTGTAGTTTAGTTCAATAGTTTTGTTTTGTTTGTCGGTTGGTGTGTTACCATTTTGGGAGAAGATTTTTTTTTCATCAAACCATCTCTGATCATCTTTTCAGAGGATTTGATGCAACAACAAAAAAAAGTATGCTACATAAGCACAAAAAGTGGACAAATCTTGCTTTTCAGAAAGAGCATGAAAATTGCTTTCATAGCCACAGTTCTCTCATGTCGTGTGGTTTGTTTGTTGTTTTCAGCAAAAGATCCTCCAGCAGCTGTTGGTTTGTGTTTCAGGTGTTTTTGCTGCTCAACGAGATGAAATGAAGAGAAAGTCAGTGAAGGAGGGAGAATCTGTTACTTTAGACACTCGTGTAATAAAAAACCCAAATGTGATAAAATGGTATTTCAATCACACTCTCATCACTCAAATCACTGGAGATCTCAGTAATACCACAGATGATCAGTGTGACGGGAGATTCAGAGACAGACTGCAGCTGGACAATCAGACTGGATCTCTGACCATCACAAACACCAGAACCACAGACTCTGGAGTTTATAAACTACAGATCAACAGCAACTAAATCGACATCACTAGGAGCTTCAGTGTTACTGTCACTGGTGAGTATCATTTAGCCATTTAGTCATTTTCCGTTGAGCAGGTTTAGAAAAGCAGTGTAAAGTTTTAATTGCGGCCTTTTTGAAAACGTCATCTTTGATTCAATGTTAAAATATAATCAAGGTCATCTCTTTCACCTTCTCATGCACATCAAATGACAAAACAAACAGTTGTTGTTTTTTTTGTGCTGAACAAAAAAAATAAAAATTGTGCTGCTGTTTCCTGTTGAGCTGTAGTACTATAATGTTTAGCTGCTCTTCCTTTAAATACCACCAGGTGGCGTTCTTTATTAGTTACATAAATATAATAAAACTATGGAAGCCCATTCCTGCCACTGAATAAAAAAAATAAAATAAAAAAGGTAATTGCAACTTTTTGTCTCATAATTTTTTTCTTGCAATTTCGAGTTTACATCTCGCAATTCTGACTTTTTTTTTTCCCCCCTAAGATTTGCAAGATATAAACTCGCAGCTGTGATTTACAAAGTCAGAGTTTATGTGATTTAAAATCGCAATTGCATGTTATAAAGTCAGAATTACATGTTTATATCTCGTAGTTCTGTGTTTTTTTTTTTTTTTCTCAAATTGCGAGTTTTGGTATGCAACTACCTTTTTTTTTTTTTTTAATTCAGTGGAAGAAACGGGCTTCCATAAAGAACTGATGCCCAAAGAAGAAAGCTCAGTCAAATATCAGTCAAAGATGTTTGGTAAATACAGGATTTCTCACTAGTATTAACGACTGTCTGTTTTCAGCTGACCTAACAGGAGTATATGCTGCTGTTTCTGCTGTTCTGCTGCTGCTGGTCGCATCTGCTGGTTTATTTTACTCTTGCAAGTGGCATTCAAGAAGGAACAGTGAGTGTTACATACAGCTGATTTGACATGATGGAAATTTGAGATTTTAAAAGTCTTTAATTTCCATTTTTTTACTCTAACCAATGTAATGTGACTTTTTGTTGTCCAAACAGACATCATGAGGAAGTGTGCTGATCAGGTGAGATACTATCAAATTCAAAAGACTTTTTGTCTGTCTCTCTGCAAAACCAAACCAAAACAAACAAACATAAAAACAGATTCAGATCTGTTTTGCAAAATTTGTGTGAGTGTGTATACGGTTTCATGTGTATGTTGTGGTATATGGTCTCTTGTATTTTTTGTTTAACTCACATCAGTCCTGTTCATTTCTTTTATTTTCTGTGAATCTTGATATGCCACAGCCATATATTTTGTCCTGGCCAAATTCCCTCCACTGGCCCTTGGCTATCATGGTGTCCTAATAATCCCCATCCACTTGATTGGCTCTATGACTCTCTCTCCTCTCCACCTGTAGCTGGTGTGTGGTGAGCGCACTGGCGCCGTTGTCCTGTGGCTGCCGTCGCATCATCCAAGTGGATGCTGCACACTGGTGGTGGTTGAGGAGAGAGCCCCTCATGATTGTAAAGCGCTTTGGGTGTACAACAATAAAGTGCTATATAAATGCATAATTCATTCATATAAAGGCCTACTCAGGTCGAGAGTATATACAAAAAATACAAACTGAAATGGAATAAGTGGCAGTAGTGATTTGAGACCAGATGTAGTCTTGCACATTGACATGACACAATTAGTGCATTTGTTAAAGTCCTGGGCCCGCATTCACAAAACATATTAAGGCTAAAAGTAGCTCATAACTTGCTGATTTAGGAGAAAATCTTAAAAATAATGGGTGTCAGTCCTGAATTTAGACATACTTTAGTTTCGTCCAGTGCTTAAAGTGGAAACACAAAACTGCCGTGAGGGCCCCCTGCCAGTCAGACGTCCCCGACTGAGACTAATGCTGCCAATGCGACACCAACGCAGGCCCGGCTCCGGAATCAAATCACTGAGGGTGTTTCTTAAATTAGTGAGGGTGCTCTCTCTCTCTCTCTCTCTCTCTCTTAGCAGCATCATATGACCCCTTTAATATAACATGGAGCAATATATATGCATCACCCCTAGGGGGCCCCCTCTCGCGTTACACTGGATGTGCTTGCTTTTCCCTTGTGATGATGAGTCGGCCGCCGTTTTCAAACTGGCACAGCGCTTACTCGTGCATTTGCTAATTTAAACATGAAGAGGACTTATCCGTCTGGCAGCCAGAAGCGGAAAAAAAGCAAGAAGAGGAGGAAAAGAGGAAACATGACAGCAGTAAATGATGGAGATAAGATTTAAGGATAATTATATGACAAACAAATGTTTTTGTTGTTAATTCCAGCTTATTTTCGTTTAATTATTTGCAAGATGAATTACTGGTAATAGTCCAATTACTAATAGGGTTACTGGGAAACAGGCTAGCTAGGGTTGCACTTAGCAGCAGCACATTATTATCATTACATTTACATAGTTGACATTATTTATTTAGCTCTTCTACATTAAATTAGTTGAGTTAACATAATTAGTTGTCAACTAATAAAACTAGTAAAGCTGATAAAAGCATACCTCAGGTCAACAATGAACCAAGAGAGGCTGTCAGCACTGGCACTAATTTCAATTGAACGGAACATACAACGGTCTTTGGATATGGAGGACATAGTGACAGCATTTGCTGTAGCTAAGGCTCGTAAGCACCATTTTTAAGGTGACAATCCGTTACTGTAAATATGAAGATTGTAGTGGATCTTCAAGATTGTATTGTACAGTATTGTATCTTCTGCCATAAAGATGAAGATTGATATTTCGTTAAAGAATAAGCACTTTGTTTAAAAAAACAAAAAAACAATTTATGTTCTATTATGTGTTTTAACTACTTTTTGTATGTTGTATAAATATATATCTAGGTAACAAAGATATATTAGCAAAATAATCTTTTAGAAAGGCCACATCTATTAATTTTGCATGGGGCCCCCACTTCATCTTGGTTCGCCTCTTATTACCACTTGGTAAATGCCATTATTACAGCATTAACTGAGGGTGCTATTGATTTTGTTTGAAACCGGGCCTGCACTAACGTAACATTATTCATTATTATGATACTTCATTCAAAGAGAGAGTGAAGAGAAATGGGAGAAGAGCATCAGCTAAACTCGCTACACTCACAGAGAAATACTGTTTCACCTCGACACCAGCTTTAACATATTACAAAAACTAATTTGCTATAATTCATTTTTTATTAATTTAAATAATACATTTAAAAAAATATTAATTCTGTATAAATATATTTACACAAAAAGATGACAAGAAACGGGTTTCCTGCAACAGAACAAAGAGTGCTTGAGGTTTTTCAGTATATTTAGGTTCCTGCTAATTTGATCCAGACAGGAACAGTGAGCAAATCTTTTTCTTTTCAGGATTTTTGTAATCATTAATAACAGCAGCATTTGCATGACACTGCAAGACCTGCAAGATGTTTTGCCCATTTCTGTATACATTAGCCTACTTCATGACTGACTGTGAACATGAATACTTAACATAAAATGAACATTTTGACCAAGAAATGTCATACTGAGTGCAAGACAAGCTCTCTTTACAGAACGGCTGTCTGATACTGGTAATGTTACATCTTTACAGTTTTAGTATTATCTTGACAACACTAGAGAGGAAACACCAGTATGCCGTTATTCCCAAGATTCACGTTACTCTAAGATGGTGTTTTCAGCAGGAATCCTTTTGTTTATGTTAAAGTCGATGTAACGATTTGCGTTTTTACTTGTTTGTTTGTGAAATCTCACCATTGTATCCATGATTAAAACTCTTGAGTCTCAGGAACTGAGCCTGTAATAACTGCACTGAAAGACACTGAAGCAACAGCAAACTGCCAAATAAGTATTTTTGTAATATATTGTTATGTATTATGTTCCATAACTGTTCCTGATGCACAATCCTTTTACTTGTGCTAATCTGAATGTAATTTAAGCACATTTCATAAAATAATTATTTACTTATTTACAAAAATATGTATTTTTTATTATAATATTCAGATGTTTGCTGCTTGTCCTCAATGTCTTCATTATTGAAATCGATCTTTCATTGTAAATTGTGATTCTTTGTACTTTGTTGTAACAAAAATGTTGTAAATTG